AAACGTATGTAGAATAAAGTTTTCACATTATAGAGAATATAAGCATATCGTAAACGTTATATAAGTATATGTATAGTTCTCTTCTTCTTGTTAAAATTCCACTTTGGCCTGCTCACTTACTATAGAATCTCAGTTGATAAGCCGAACTATTTTCTCTCATACTATCACAATATTAGTCTGGTGTGATTCACTTACGATTGTGATCTTCTTTCTTCTGAAGATCCTATGTTCCTTTTATCAAAGTGCACTCGGGCTGATTCAATTACTTTAGAATTTCGCTTTGACAGAATAAACTTATTTTTTCTTATTTCCTTTTCCACTGTTAGTTTCACGCTAATATATATATATTAAACGTTAGTCCTATCACTTTTACGTTACTAAACTTCATACCAACTATATTCTCTTTACTGTTATCTGTCTATTGTTGTCTGTCTGCTGCTTCCCGCTCGTCTCACGCTATTTATATCTTTATTACGTAGTCGTCTGGCCACTTTCTATATTCTCGACACCAATTAGTTATTAACAAAACCTTCTACAATCGTCTGCTTTTAACTCTTATTATAACAAAACTTAAAAATAATAAAATATTCACTCACAAATATAAATTAATTACTAATATTTCAACCAAACGGTCTTTTATATCATGACATACATACTATAAACAAACATCATGAAAATAAGTGAAATCCAACATATAAAGAACTTAAATCTTTACAAATGGCTAGCGTCAGCCACTACTTCAAGAACAACAAAACTTTTTCGATAATAACAAAATAAAACAGTATTAGATATTCATGTAAATACACTAAAACACAAGTTAATGGCTAACAAGCCGACCCCAATACTGATGCACGTGTCGCAGTTGAAAGAACTACTAACTTTATTCTTCCATAAATAGTAAGGAAAATGTTTGTTTAGTTATGTTCAGATACTCCCCCCCCCCAATTCTCGTACATATATTCTACATGTACCTAATTACGTTTTTATAGTTTGGAAGTTCAAAGTTCGTAAACTTAATCCTTCACCTTCATTTTAGGCGGCTGTTATTCAAAAATGTTTGTGCTTGCTTGGCCTTTGTTATTGTATCATGCACTTCTGGAATATCGTCATGCTCATGTGTAGGTGTTATCCAGAGACTTGTAGAAATACAGGTATAAAGTTTATCTTTTGCTTTGAGAAAGGTATAAGGATTCTGGGATTCTTCTGATTCCTTTCTGCGTCTTCTAAGTAGACACTTTTTTTCAAGATCGAGGAGTAGAGAGTTATATATATGCCAGACGTTATTAGATAAAGGTCCTAATATATAAATTGTATAAAACATGTTTGTTTTCTTTGTACTCTCGTTTATTCTTTTCCGTTTATGTTGATCTTATCCTCTGAAGAACATTTGCGAAATCTGCTGTGTTGCGAATACTTTCTGTTGGACATGGGTGTACACTGAACACCCCACGTACAAGTGAACTTTATATTACTCGTTTAGTATCTGATTATATCTTTACAAAAAAGAAAAGTAATGCGTACTAAAATTCTATATTTACAGTAGCAAGACTTTATAACAGTTTCAATGTACAAGTACTGAGATCCAACTATTTTTTGGATAAGGGTAAATGTCTCTTCCTATTATATATTGTCTAATGCGAGATTCTTTCAATTATTATTATCACAACAGAACATTTAAAATAAGTTTAATTTAGTTAAATTAAGGCCTAAATAACTCATTTTTAATACGCCAGATGACAGTAAAATTTATGAAATTCAGCTACAGAATAGTTACATTATGAATTTAAAATTTATCTTTGAGATAACATGATAGACAAAAAGTTTAACTTTTTTAAATTAAAATTGTGAGAGTTTGTTTGTTGTTAAGCACAAATCTATACAATGGTTCATCTGTGATGAGATCACCAAGTGTATAGAATCCCAAGTTTTAGCGTCATAAGCCTTCAAACTTACCAATGAGCCACTGAGTGGCTTGAGGGGAAGAAATGCGATTCATTAAATATTACAACAAAATCGCAAAACCTACATTTCAAAAGATACACACACACACACACATATATATACATATTTGTAGTTATATACAATAAAAAACCTACCTTCCTCACAGTGAAGTCCACAATATTCAGGTGGACATAGACACTGGTATTCACGTAGTTTGCCATCAATGTAAGTGATGTTTTCTACACGTTCACAAGTTCCATTGTTTAGACAAGGCTTCGAGTGACATGTCCACAACTAAGATGTTGGAAAATTAGATTATCTTGGTTACTTAAACAGACATATTATATCAATATTTGACGATAGACATTTGTTGCTGAACGATTTTGACTTCATTCAGAACAATTAAATTGAGGACAAATTTTAAATACTTTTGGAAATACATTAGAAATAAATTCAATATGTTGTTGAATAATAACAAACACCTTAAAGTTTATTTTATTCATTAAAACACATATTAAATCGTTTAGAGCGAAATGTTAGAATGTTTCATGTTTTAATGTGACGTTTCATTCATTATTTTTTAACATTTTTTAAGTTTTCTTATTTCTACCTTTAGAAAAAAATAGAATGAAGAAATCCACCACCCTTAGTTTCAACAAAGATGACCCGAAACTTCATCTTGTTTTAAAACAACCATCGTTTATGTGAACTAGCTTAACATTTCTAAATTTTACCTGTTTTCTAGCAACATCGGCAGCCGTAAATAGATTATACTCTGATTAATAACTTGTAATTGTTGTTGTTTTAGAGTTTGTTACGCGTTCAATATCAACTGATACAACAAGCATAAAACTTCGGCAATGTCTTGTTATGAGAACAAAGTTGAAGGAATCTAACAAGTGTTTGAAATTATATTTTGCTTGTTTGTTTTAGAGCAAGGACATATTGGGCTATATCTTCTTAGGATCTTAGGGTTTTAAGTTCATAAACTTACCGCTATCCGAACGAGGGAGAAAGGAGTTTTCTTTGTTTATTTTAGAGCAAAACCACATTCGACTAGCGTTGTAAGTCCATAGACTTACCGCTGTCCACCGGAGAATTTGAAACGATGACTCTCATCCACTTAATGCTCCTGACAATATGGATCTCTCTTGAGGCTTTCCATACGATTTAAAAATTATTTGAGATTTATTGTTATGTTGAATATACTTTAAAGTATTTGTTCAACTGGAGTCATTTTTAGTCTTTTTAAAAAAGCTAAAGCGAAGTAACTGTGGAAAATACAATCGAACCCTACGTAATCATAAAAGGGTTATAGTACACTTACTTTCAAATAAAGATCGTTTCCTTGATCATATTGAAATGTAGTGGGATCTCCGTCTAGAACTGACAGCAGCTCACACTCTTGGGAAGAAAGTTTCACGTTAAAGGCCATACATCGTTCACTCTTCTGACATTCATCCTCACATTCCTTTACATTGGAGATCTTCAAGGATTTCAATATTGTAGCATCTGGTTTAATTTGAAAACTAAACCGGTAAAACTTTACTGCTTCCACTTCTTTAGCTGTCATATCTAGAAAAACAGATACCAAATAATGTGGGTTATGTTAGTCCAGAGTCGATAAGAGCAGGATGTATCTAATTTAACTTTTTTCATAAAATCATGTCAAATAACTTTCAACACGTAATAATAATCGTCGACCACAAATCTCATTATCGTAGAAAGATATCACTTTATGCTTGTGACTCAAGTACAGAGATACAAAGTTGAGTACCTGTACAGAGCTCACTGCAAAGATCGAACTGCTAATTTTGTCGTTACCATCACAATTTTATTTGTTTCTCAATACCAAAGTATATCTTACTTTTCTTCTTAAGTAAGTCGCAGAATACTGAAAACGTGCGTATTATACTGGAGAAGTTGAAGTTGTCAGAGGGTAGCACAGCAATTGATAACAGCTTTAAAAACAACCAAACCATGTATTTCTAGGGATATTTTCCATCTTATCACAGATGTGTTGAAGAAACACAACAGATATTAATCCGTCTACATAAAATAGTTTCAATGCCCATTTCATAAGGCAAAAATGTCGAAGGTGACAAACTTTTATTAATGAGAAAAACAAAGCCTTTGTTTTCAATACATTTGATTTAATGTGGCTTCCTGGAAGAGCTGTGTTAAAAGAAATTAATTATTGATGTTCATTTTATTCACATATACAAATTTGAAAATACTCTGATATGTGGATTTAACCACTTCAATCAATAGAGTTTACTTTCTGTGAAAAAAAAAATTCTCGAATTTTCAAAGACCTATCATAAATTTGTTGTCCTTAATTTCCTTCCTTTTTTTTTTAGCAAAATTCAGGTTGTGGAGTCCAAAAGTAAATTATTGGTATAATACTAGTTTAAATGTATTGATTATTCTGTCTAATGTTTTCATGTCTGAAGCTGTGACTAATGATTATATATACATTCAAATTAAGCAATGATCACATCAACATACATTCATCGGATACTACAAAATCAACCAATTTGGAGTATATAAAAACATCAAAATATTTGAAGTCACTGTTTAATGTATAAGACGTGTCATCTCGTTTTTTGTTTATATATTATATATAAAAATATATGATATATAAGCAAGAACGAAAAGTTTATTTCAGTGATATCTCTAGAGGGATGAAACTATTCAACAGCACTCGCCTCTAGTCGAATAGTGGGCTTCTGTCATAACCAAGAAAGTAAAACTCTATATGAATATGTGTAAGTAAAGGTATATTATATACAAGTTATGTAAGGGTGAAATTCATAGTAATTCCAGCTATGACAATCCCCTTTTCTATATTTCAGAGTCGTCCTCGCTTCAAACTTTAAATATGATATTATTTGCTGAAATAGCAAATGTTATATATATATATATATATCGCAAAATGCTGTAAAAATTTCTCTCACGTAAAATGAGCACATACGATATGTCATAACGCTCACATCCAGAGAAGAAAGTGTAACAAAAGAGCCTCCAGTGACAAATAGTGTCTAAAAAAAAAGAGAAAACTCAGGAATAAATATAAAAATCGAAACTATGTTACATTTTTAAATACAGTAAAACATAATAAACTTAAACGGAATTAAAAACAAATACATTAATCGTAATTATAAGGGACAGACAAATGCATAAAAGTTTTTATGACCACTCTGCCTTAGTTCATGAAATGTATATTATCGCCGTTAGGGGTATTTTCAGCCTGTCCAGATTGGTCCTGCTTAACGAATTTCAAGAGTCGAAGCAGAATTGTCACATGTAAAGCTTCATGTACCATAACCATCATTGGCCAATGAACTTATTACTATTTAAGGAGTTGAATGTTATACATCAAATCTATCTACTACAATAAATAGTTAAAATACTAAATGATTTAACTAAATTTAATATTTTAGATTATATAAACATTCACAAACTTACGTTTTATTTAGTATGTGATAAGTTTTGGCTGTTTGTTCACGGAACAATAGAACAGCTTGTGTCTATATGACCTCTGGTGCATCTGGACACTTAAGTTATATTTGTTTTAAATCATTAGCGTATTTAAGGTGTCTTTGCTAAAATTAATCTACGCATTAGCCAGACTTGAAAGAGACTTATGAAAGAATAAACCAAAAGCGATCATAATTTATGGTCTAATGTTTTTAATGTTCAACATTATTATTTTTTCTACTGCAATGACCATGGATTGTGGTAAATGTGCAGGGATTTGGATCCGAAGGTCTCTGTTTCGCTTTCAGTTTACTGTTATTTTACTTTCATATATCACTTTAAACGTGACAGATTGGCAGCGAAAACCTAGAACATCTAGGTATAATTATCCATTATGTAGCTGAAAAACACTTATCTAAACGAACAAGTATAAATACACTTATATATAATAGTACTTCTCATATGTTCGGAAAATATTGTGTGTGTTTTTTATGTTTTAATGGTCAGAAACGTTTTTACATGACAATAACGTAATCAATATAGAAGTCTTAGATTTTATTTCTACAACTTTTTAGCCGTTTTATCACTAACATAAAGTTTTATGTACATAACCTTCAGATGTTAATCTCAGATGTTTTAATATTATTTCTATATATCTATATATATGATTTAGAGGACATTAGAAACACCAACATTATATATATATGAACGAGGTGAGAAAAATAAAAATTCTTACGTGGGATAATTAATTAACTTCAATCATAGAGTGTTCGTTTATAATTATTTCAAAAATCAACCATACACCTGGTGAGTCTCTGGCCAGTCGTTTACGTTGCAGAGCAAAAGCTACAGCTCAAGTTGTAATCATCACCTATCTTACATTCATATCATCCATAAATATTTTGAAAAAAAACTTCACTAGCCTGGTATTATTATTCACATAACACCAAATAACTAGTACTACTTCATTCAATAGGAATCTTGCAAAAATTGAGAGAGTACATTTAAACTCAATTCAGTCTCGTTAATTTTTTCGTGGTGCAAAATTTTCTAAAGTCTTCATTTTCCGCCATCAAAAAATCCGGTGTTTTCTTAGCGCACCTTTAGAAGGCTTAGATAATTGAGCCGAAAGCTTGTGCATTAAAACAACTAAAAAACGTGGTGATAGTCCAAATAAATTAGTTAATATACATACATATGAGTACTACTCACGTTAAAAGCCTGAAAAGTTACTGAACTTTACATTTTGTTTGTTGCGGTTGCAGAACACTAAACAATAGACATCGCTTGCAATAATTTCATAGTGGAGTCATAACAGGGATTTGTAGCTTGAGAAAACTGTCAGCAGTAGATCTCGAGTCTTGTTTGCTGATTTTTTTTCGATCCCTATTTATAAATTCTTAATTTTTAAATATCTTGTATGTTTAGTTTGTTGATGCACATCAATGTGCAAGTACATGCCTAAAGTAAGACACACCCCCCACTAAGTGCATATAACATTTTACCAGTAGAAAAGCAGCCTTTTCAAATAAAGCACATACGTCTAAAACATCGATTTAGATAAGGCGTTGTGTCTTTTGAATTAATTATTTACTGAGCCAGATGGCTTTGCGCCTGAGGTTTCTTATAAACACGCGTTTAGAATGCTTCGAGTACAAAGTCAACTGCTCATAACAACATCGCATCTATTGTGTATTTATAGCCACGTAAATGAACTTTCAATGAAAAATAATAAGCTTTGAAGTAGGTTCTGGACATTCGCAGCGTTTCATGTAGTATATCTTATAGGTTTTGGTGCAAAATACCTAGCCAATTTTGCTGTAGGTTTGTGAAACCATAACCATAATAATATGAACAAATGGGCGAATTTTGATTTTGTCTAACAATCGTGAAATCACTTATTTTGCTTATTAGCAATGTCTTAACTATTAAAAAGGAAGGTTTGGGGATGTTGTTTCAAGAATAAGTCTGCTTTTTTAAGGTGGTTTTTTGCCTGAATGTTCTATTAAAGTTTTGAGCAAATTCCTGTGAGATCCTTATTATGAACCATTAACTAAGATATTGATAAATATATATACACATATGCATACATGCTTATAAATATAAATCAGCAACTTCACGATGTAATACAGTAAAAGTTGATTTTATAATGTATTTTGTCATATAAATAACTATGAATACTGAGTGCTTATTATAAAACGATTTTGGAGCCTCACCACGTCGTTGAGTTCCATCTCTCACGTCCGGTCATGCTCTTTCTGACTACTGTGAGTCTTGATAATAGCTATGTAGCATAGTTTCCATTTCAAATTGCTCCATCATAAAGAATATACCTATATCTAGATATGATTCGTTTCATAAGAAGACTATATATGACCCACGATAAAATGATGGAGCAAAATATGGTGAAGCAAAGAAAGAATAATGCTATGATATTATAACTTTGAACGTAACAACTATGAAAGCTCTATGGGTATATAGAAGTGTTTTATTCTAATATATTTAGCTCAGATTCGATTCGGTAGAGAATCGAGTGGATTTTGAAGATGAACATTTCTACAAATGTTTTCACATTTACAGTAAATCTTTTTTTAATATTTCTTCTTTTTTTGTTAATTGAAATATGGTGTTAAAAGTAGAAACTTATGAACATAAATTATTTTCTTCCATTAGTTTTATTCACTGATGTTTATAGATTAATCCTTCTTTCTCTCTCATACACACGTATGTATATGAGAAGTAATTGAAAACAAGAGCTTAAGTAAAGCATCTCTTGCAATAAAGAGACAAACTACAAAATAAAAAGATAACTAATATATCTGATTTAAGATACGTTTGAAGAATCACTATTAAAATTTTTAAGACGGGTATATCACTTGTACTTAATGACATTCAAAAACAAAGGTACACAGATCAAACTGGGGCACCAGAACTACTAAAAATGTACTTTGAACAAGTTATAAAAAGGTGAAATTTAAAGCTTGTCCAGCTATGATAAAAGTGTCCAAAACCGTTATCGAATATGAATGGTAAAGAAAATCCTAGGACGAAATATTGTTCGCATTTAATGGACTCGTACAACATTTCAAACAAAATACTTTGTTACAGTAAATGTGTATAATCCATGAAACAAAAACTTTAATTAAATTGCTCGTCATCGAATACATAAAATTACAAAAAGTATATAAAGAGTTTCAATACGTTTGTCATTTAAAAGATATTTACATATACATAAAAAACAAACAGTATAACTCAATCTAGGGAAAAAATAAATCAAATAAGTAAACACAAACTTATAATTCAAATGAATATATTACCCAATGTAAATATTATTTTGCTAATGTTAATAGGAATTTTGTGATTAAACATTAAATAGAAACATTTTCAGTGTTTTCAAACATTCTCACTTTTTAAGTAATATTTTATATTTCAATAATAGTTTTATTTTCCTTTTGTAACTAAAGCAACAATTTGACTACAGCGTTTATGGTGTCTCTTTAATTTTTCTACCAATGATATTTCAATTTGAAGTCGTTTCAGTGTTTCTTTAAACAAAAATACAATAATCACATTCACTTGTACTAGTCCATCATCCAAGTTATTTGAAATCAATAGGTTATTTAAAAGGAGAAAAACTGAATTTATTAATATTTTTACCATGTTAGATTTGCATATAACAAACTGTAAAGAACTTACTACTGTTACAATCCCTATTAATGTAGACGTAGTGATAATTTTGGCCAATGGGTACTTAGTGTGGTCACGTGTTTTTCGAAGGCAGTATTTGAGTGAGATTAACCAAGTAACAGATTTACATTCAGGCCTCTCACGACACACTCTTGGATATTCGACATAGGTAATGACAGAAGCGTGGGACTTACTGGAACATTCGATATAAATCGATTCACTTTTGTGATGTAAGTAAGTGAAAGAGAAGGTTTAGGAGAAAAACATTTTGTACATCTTTTCGGAAACTGTAGAACTTGTTAATTTCAACTTTAAAAGGTTGGTCTCATCTTACTCCTGAAAAATGTATTTTTATTGTTTACCTTTATTAGATTGTCCTTTCCATTTCCTTAGATCGCCGAAGAGGTGAAAAGGAAATTTTACGAAACGTAATCAAGATAAAGAAAGATAAAAAAGTTAAGACCAAATTTTATATTTCACTTAATATTTGTTATTTATTTAAAAAAATATATAAAGAGAAACTCACAAGTATGTATATACGGGGGCTGGACAAAACCACCTCCTTAAAGATGTGCTCCTTCTTTTCCAGGTATTAAATGAACAAGGTTCAAAGCTGACTGATTAATTTGTTTTTCCAATTACTGCTTATACAAGTGATTTATAACATTTAAACCGACATAACTTCTATTTCACGTTAGTTGTTAAGCAAAAACATCATTTTAGGAAACCGACTTAGTGACCCGAATTGTACAACTTCTCGGTTTTCCAAAAGAAACATTAACAACGACTATGACAATTACCCCATAAATATAAACTGTAACAATGGTTGGAAGATCATCACGGGTGACCGAGACCGCCATGTTTTATGTCAAGTTGTGCCTTTTAAAACACCCTTTTAGGAACCCTTCATTTTAGGAACAACTTCTCGGCGGCCATTATTCAGTAAGGCTTATACTTGCTTGACCTTCTTTTTGTATCATGCACTTCTGGAATAATGTCATACTCATTTCAGTTGTTATCTAGAGACCTGTTGTAGCAAATGTTGGTTTGAACTTTATTATCATTTTACTTTGTGTATAATCAGAATGATGTAGGGTTGTGGGATACCGCACAAGAACTCTGTTCTGAACAAACATTGTTGTGTCATAATTCTTCTGATTCCTGTCTGCGCCTTGTAAGGAGATGTTTTTCTCAAGCTCGAGGAGTAGAGAGTTTAGTATCGAATATATGTACTAGTCGTTATTAGATAAAGGTCCCAAAATTTAAATTCTTTCAAAAACATTTTGTTTTGTTTGTACTCTTGTTTTTTCTTTCCTGTCTGAATTCATATTATTTTATGAATAACAATTGCGGAATGGGCTGTGATGCGAATACTTGGTACTTTTATGTTGTGTACATGAGCACTCCACATACAAGTGAACATTCCATTATACCCTTAGTATCCGGTTATATATAAAAAAGGCTAAGATATAATAAGATATGCTTACAATGAATCCAATAATTATAGTAACAAAGACTTTACAAAAAATTCGCAATGCCCCACCACAGGTATCGAAGCCCGAGTTTAAATTTATAAGCCTTACCGATGAGTCACTGGGTGGCTTGATGGGTGTAGAGAAGAAAAGCATTTCGTTAAACATCACAAAAAACCTAGAAAGTCAAATAAATGAATATTTCTATTAAATGCAAAACCTACCTTCCTCGCAGTGAAGTCCATAATATTCAGGTGGACACAGACACTGGTATTCACGTAGTTTGCCATCAATGTAAGTGATGTTTTCTACACGTTCACAAGTTCCATTGTTTAAACAAGGCTTAAAGTCGCATGTCCACAACTGGGATGTTGGAAAATCAGATTATTTTGATGTTACTTAAATAAAAAAATTGAAACAAGATTTTACGATAGACATTTGTTGCTGAACGATTGTGGTTTCATTCAGAACATTTAAGGTGAGAGCAATTTTGAAATGCTTGTAGAAATACATTAGATATACATGCAATATAGTGTTGAACAATAACAAACATTTTAAAAGTCAATAATGTTCATAGTAAATAATTTAGAATGAAATGCTAGAACGTTTCATATTTTACTGTGACGCTTCAGCTCGCAATTATTATTATTCCACAATCAAGAAAGGCAACACACATAATTTTAACAAAGATGACCCAAAACTCTACCATGTCCTAAACAGCTAGTGTTTATGCGAACTAACTTAAAAATGGATTACCACAAAAGTAACATTTCTGAATCGTACTTTTTTCTAACGATACCTACCACTGTAAATTTTATGCTGATTAACAGCTTGTAATTGCTTTTGTTTGTAAGTTTTTTACGCCCTCAATATCAATGGAGTTGATATAGTTATAAAAATTCGGCATTGTCTTGTTATGGGAACAGAGTTGCAGAAATCTAACAAGGGTTTGTTGGTAGAATAAAGTTTGAAGTGATGTTGTGTTTGTTTTAGAGCAAACCCACTGTGCTTATATTATGTTTTCACCACGGGGAATCGAACTTAGGATTTTAGCGTTATAAGTCCGTGAACTTACCGCTGTACCATCCGAAAGCAAATTGAGTTTTGCGTGCTTTAAGGCAAAAACGATATTGGACTATCTTTTCTGTCCACTACAGGGAATCAAATCCCGAATCTTAGTTTTGTTAGTTCGTTGATTAGCTCTAACTTGAAATGATGACTCTAGCCCAATGAATACTCCTGAAGTTATGTGTCTCTCTCTTCTATACGACTTAAAAGTTATTTATTATTTACTGTTATAACAAACATTCTTTAAAATATTTGTTTAGATAGTAGCATTTATGTGGAGCGATAGGAATATAAGAAAAAAAACTGTGAACTCTAAAAAAGAAAATCCAGTCCTACGTAATGATAAAAGGGCTATAGCACACTTACTTTCAAATAAAGATCATTTTCTTGATCATATTGAAATGTAGTTGGATCTCCGTCAAGAATTGGCAGTAGCTCACACTCCTGGGAAGAAAGTTTCATGTTAAAGGCCTCACATTCGTCAGTCTTCTCACATTCATCTTCGCATTCCTTTACATTGAATACCTTCAAAAATTTTAGGATTGGAACATGAGGCTTAATTTTAAAACTAAACCGGTGAAACTTTACTGTTTCCAGTTCTTTAGTTGTTATGTCTAGAAAAAGAGAAATAAAAATAATATGGGTTATATTAGTCCATGAATATATAAGAGCTGGACGTACCAAATTTAATTTTTACAAAACACATGCCAAATAATGTTTCAAAACAAAATAATAATACTCGACCACAAATCCCATTATTGTAGATGTATGTTTACGACTCAAGTACAGAGATGTATAGTGGAGTATTTGTGAAAAGATCACCACATGGATCGAGCTGATAATTGTAGCGTTATAATTCCTTCTCTTTAATGTTTCCGTATCTGGATATAATTTTATTTGTCTGTAAATACGAACCCATATCCTACTTTTCTTTTTGTATACATTGCAGATAACTTAAAAATCCTCTCTAAAAATCACGTATTTATTGTACCGGGCAAGTAGGGAATTACCAAATTCTAGTACAGAAATGAATAACAGCATTAAAAACAACCAAATCACGCATTGCTAAAGAAATTTCTTGCTCATCACAGGTGTGTTGAACAAACTCAACATAATATTAATATTTTCTTTTTGAGCTTACTTGTTTATTATAAGCATTATTTACTGGAAGTTACAGCTTTTACAGTGAGGAAAAATATTTCTTAAAACAGGTACGACGTTTTGATTACAATATTAATTTATTCATACTTGAAAGGTTCAATAGCTACTTTATATGCATACGAGTTAGTACCAGGGGCTTATCGCTAAAAGTTTAGACGTTATCGCAAACAAGATAATCAAACTTATATGGAATTTGCCCACGAAAAATACGTTTATTTTGATCGATGGTGTAATTCTATGCATATTGGCAACAGTTTCGACAAACTAAGACAATTATGTCTAATTGAGAAATTTAAACGTTGTGCACGTGACGACCTCAAACTTACTTGGACAAAAAGAAAGTTGAAACACTACAGGAAGCAGCTGCTCTTTCCGATGACTATACTTTAACACATAAAACCACTTTTCATAAAAATAAATTCCTACCATCTCAACAAAAACCTGTAACTTGTCAATCTACTAAAGTTGAGGATTCTTCTAAAAAATCCAGCTCCTCTAGTTCGAAATCTTCTGAAGGTCAGGATAAAACTTCTTTAAAACAATCAAGGCCTGTCTGCCATTTTTGTAAAAACCTGGTCATATTATGTCTAATTGTTGGTGTTTGAAGAAGAAAAAAGAAAAGGAGTGCGTTTGTGTCCACATATGGATGTAGTTTCACCAGATCACCCGATGTTGTTGATTTGGCCACTGATATAAAGGCTGATGTAATCAGGGAGAAAGTTAGACCTTTTGTGTCCGTTGGTTCGGTGCATTTGACAAATGACACTGACAATCCCATACCTATACGTATTCTATGTGATACTGGGGCGAATCGATCATTGTTGTTAGAAGGTATATTACCTTTAGATTCGAGTTCTGCCACTGGTAAGTCTGTTATTGCTCAGGGTATTGAAGGTGGCTTTGTTAATGTTCCTCTTCATAACATTTATTTAGCATCAGACCTAGTTTCGGGACCAACTGTGGTTGGAGTAAGACCTACTCTGCCAATTAAGGATATAACATTGTTGTTAGGAAACGATTTGGTTGGGGGAAAAGTTTTTGCCGAACGTAAAATGGTTAGTAAGCTTATCACTGTTTCATCTGAGGATGATGTTGCCCGTGAGGAGAATTCCGATGTGTTTCCCTCGTGTGCTGTAACTGGAGCTCAGGCTAAGAAACTAAGCCAAAAACAAATGATAGACATGGATTCAGAGGACGATATTATAGATTTGTCTCAGACATTTTTTGGATCCGACAGGGATATTATGGATGATTGTCCTACTGACAATACCTCGATGAGTGGCAATTATGGACTTGAGGGATCTGATTCACCTGGTGAAGTTTCGTTTA